AGGTAGTAATTTCTTTACTAAAATTGTAGGTCAGGAATATATGCTCAGGTTTTTAAGAATGCTGTTATTCTGTGATTCTGATTTGATTTAAAAATAAAAATGTCTTTAAACTGCTCAAAATTAATTAAGTAACAAACACTTGTGGCATAATTATTGTGTATACACAATGTTCTAGGAATGTAATATTTAGTGGTGACCAGTCAAGTCCTTACTCTGTAGATTCCTTTATTTTAGTGTATGTGCAGGAGGTTAGTGGAGCATAGGATGGGGGACCTTCTGTATCTGCTCAATAACATTGCAAGGAAAGTAAACATAATTAGGTAAGAATATTGACTCTGGAAGCTGGTCTGACTGAAATTTTACATTTTCCCAAAAATTTTGGGAAAATTACTTAATCTGCATATATTGTTCAGGTGTCCTGTGGGTAAAACATAATAGCCAATGTCCAAAATTTAAAGGAGAAGGTTAATTTGACTTGTGGTGTTGAGGAATTCACTCCATGTCCCATGGGTGCAAAGGCAGGCACATCAGGGCAGAAGAGCCTGAGGAAGGAGAGCTGCTCATTTTATGGTAGCTACGAAGCAGAGCAGGGCACTGTCCCAAGAGGGGCCACCCAGAGACACCTGGAGCTGGCAGTGGGCTCTACTAATCCTCTAGGTGTTTTCCAACCCAAGGAATTTGACATATCAGACTTAATGACCATAATCCAGGTCTTGAGATCTTATGGAAAAGTGAGATTGAGAATAGTGGATCAATTAACTACACAGAAGACATTTGGTAACACAGAATTCAGGATGTGGTATGGATATTGGTAGATGAGTTTAGTCAGAATTATAGTGATTGTTGAATGCAAAAGATAAAGCAGAAAAGTTTTCAAAACTTACATTTTTGGCCTAGAAGGAACTGTGTGTAAAGTAGAGGCCAACAGAAGTGTAGTTGCTAAAAAGATTAGAGCCACTGAGAAGAAATCAGTCACTTTGTACAGGAACTATAAGAAGGATAATTTGACGATATCTCATGTATGAGCAAAATTTAAACAATTACAGATTCAAGTGTGCAAAAACTGTCAAACTTCCATTTGAGGAAATCCTTTGGATCCCTATTCAAAAATAGAATGTTTAGGCAATTGGTTCTCCAGAATTGATTTCACCATGGTTAAGCATCCAGGCACTCCAGCCATGGTCCTAGGGACCCCGCATAGTGCTTCCGCTGATAGCATTCCTCAATACTCTTCTTGATATTAATTATGCTGCCATGCACAATGCAGAAGAAATGAGGTCAAAGAAACTTCTTCCCAGTTTTCAAAAGAAGGCCTGCAAGATCAAGCAAAGAGCTCCTGAAAAGGGCACTGCAGGAATCTGCAGGAATGAAACCAAAGGAAGCTGCAGATGCTAGGAATGTGGAGTGTTAGCTACGGAAAACTGAAGACTGCAAATGAAGCCAGCCCAAGAGAGAGGCCATGAGGGCTGCAATGAAATAGCCTAGAGCTTGTGGTACCCAGACTCTTTGCAACTCACATTTCACCACCTAGTGCTCTGGACTGAATGATTGCCCTCCTAGGTTTTGGTCTTGCTTTGGCCCAATAATTTTCCATCCTCTTAGCCTTCCATTTTTGAATGTGAATCTTGTGCCATTGTGCTTTGAGATTATATAACTTTATATTTTATACTTTTATAGAGATTCACAACTTTGAGTTTGCCTTGAGTCATAGAAGACAGCAATACTTTAGAAAAATCTTCCACTATTAAGGCTTCATGGTATAGATTACTTTCCAGTTGTACTTTATGATGTTAGGCACAATTATGAAGCTGCATGTTTTTTTTTCAAATTATGTATGATTTAAGGAGATATGCTTCCATGTGAAGTTGAACAGGGATGAATTGTGATCATTAATCCTGATTTACCTACTTTGTTGGATTAAGAAATGCCTAACACATTAGCAGAAAGTGTGCCTTTGGTTGCACTTGTCATAGAGACATGTCCTCGGTTGTCCTTATCATTAGCCCTCTCTGCTTCATCACTGTTTCCCCTCTGCTCCCACTTCTTGACCTCCAGGAACTAAGTAGCTCTGCTACTCTGCTTCCTTCTCCCACAGTATCTCTGTGTTGGAGCCGGACAATCCTGGACTGAGACTATGACTTAATGATACCCATCCTCCTTTAAGTTTTGGTTGTTAGGTATTATTAACAGTAACCAAAAAAAAAAAAAAATACTGACTACTACATTGGTGTCAAAACTCTTCACTTATGAATGTAAATGTTTGCTAATATTTAAATTACATTAAAATATGCCTGAATATAAGAAGAGCTAACAATTGTAGTTGTTTATTAAAATTTCTCAGGGCTGGGGAGATGGCTCAGTAGAATAAGTGCTTCCCTGGCAAGTGCAAGGGCCTGAGTTGAATCCCTGGTTCTGCCAAAATAAATAAATAAATAAATAAAATTTCTCACTACTAGGTGCAGTCATTATACTTATAATTTAAACATTAAGAGTGTAATTTTAAACATCAAGGTATAAGGTTGATGACTTTTGCTGCTTCTATTTTCAGAACATTTAATAATCTAAAACAAAGAGAAGTTAATACAGATTTAAAAGAAACAGAAATGTCTCTGCATAAACAATTAAAAGATGTTTCAGAGAAATGATCTCAAAGAAAGTGCTAATTAACTTTGAAAAATACTTAGGAATTTCAAGTTAACTTATTTTTCACAATAAGTAGGAAATCTAACAACAAATGTTTCACTTAATAACAATGCAAAGTAAAGACATTTTAGATTAAAATGAGGATCTTTTACAAAGCAAATTATAAATTGCTATTAAAAAGCACTGAAGAAAACACGAGTGAACTGAGAGCCTTGATAACAGATGGGAAGAAGATTAAATGTTACAAATCAATTTACCCATAAAGCAATGCGGTCCCAGTGAAATTTGGCAATGAGAACAAGCTTCATTCTAAAATCTAAATGAAATTTTGAAAGTTTGCTTCCTTCCCCCAGGATACCTCTGTGTTGGAGCTGACCAATCATGAACCACCATTGGACACTAACGAAATCTGACACCCAAGACAGTTTGGAAAAATATGGTGGTATACTCTATTTCCTTATACTAAAACTTGACATTTGACTGAAATAGTATTGCCTGTTGATAAATATCACTAGGGCAATTGGTTACACTTATGGAAAAAAAATAAAATTAGATTCCTAGCTTGAGCTAAAATAAATTATGCATAGATCAAAAAAGATGAAACACGAAAAGCAATGCTTTCACACTTTGGAAACCATGAGGAAAATGCCTTCATGATATGTCTAAGCACACTCCGGCATCTTCTGGGAAGAGACACTGACACTTGCAGACACTCTCAATAAAGAGTCTGCCCCCCTCTCCTCATCCTCATTGTCTCTGTCTGTATCCTCCCACTCACAGGCCCATTTTCTCACTGTGCCCTGTGAGATGGGAGATTCAAAGAGGGCTAAAGTTTCTATGGCACTGCGCGTATATTCTGCCCAGGGCCAGCAGATGCCCTGGCCCTGGTGTACACTGCAGAGTCATGAGGGAGATAAATGGGGATTCTGTGTGTCTGCATCTTGCTAATGCGTGAGTTTTCTTTCCTTAAAAGAATTCCTTAACTAATGCTGTACATTGTTGTGGAATTCATCTTGACCTCTTACAACAGCCCTAAAGAGAAAACCCCCTGCTTCCATGGCAAAAGCAAAAAGAATTCAGTTGGATACAAAGCAAGTATGAATGGCATTGAGGTTTTTCAAATTGGGTGGTAGATACATTGAATTTTTCTTAATCTTACTTTTTTTTGTTTGTTTGTTTTGGTGGTACCAGAGATCAAACTTAGGACCCTGTACTTGTCAGACAAGCACTTATTCCACTGAGCTATCTATCCAGCCTCTTATAACTTTTATTATTAAAAATAAAAGCAAATCTGAAAAGTGTGTTTTCAGAATTCAGTTGATCGTCTGTAGTGAATTTTCAGGATATACGGACTCAGTTTTTGAAAAATAAATTTCAAATTACAAAACTAAGATGTAAATCGAGTCCTATAAGCATCAATTGTAAAATTTTACAGTCTTATGTGCAGGATCAAAAGGAGCTCATGTTTTAGAGGTCACAAGCAAGACGATGACACGAGAAGCTGGAGAGAATAGTGGGTAAGAAAGGTAGACAGCAGAATGCGGCCAAGTCGGAGTTAGGACTCAGAAGAAGATGTGTTACTGGGGAGCTGTAGAAAACAATGACGCACTATGCAAGAAATCTAAAGAACTGGATCTTGAACACTTTCAAAATAAGGAAATGCTAAATATTTGAGTAGATAAATATGTTTCACATTAGCTGTTACACAGCATATACATATATGAAAATCTTACATGGTACTCCACACATAGGTACAAGTTGTAAGTTTTCATGTGCTACTTTAAAAAATGTATATTAATTAGAAAAATCTCTGAACTTGTGACATTACAATTAAGAAAAAGTCTGAGGTGTTCTAATGCAATTCATTTACATGCAGGAACATTCTGAAATCACAATTTTCACAGCGCTTTGTTCACCTTATTCTGAATTGTGACACATTTTAATATTTAGAAACATTTCCTGAAATATATCTATCCTATGCATTTTTCTTCCTTATTGAAAATATTGCCTGAATAAAGTATTTATGTAAGTTTCCAAAAAAAAAAAATGAAATTCGTTTTGTTTTTGTTTTGTTTGGTGGCCTTAGCCAATTACAGCAGTGTTCTAACTGCTAATTTGTTGGCCTGATACATTTCCTTCGGTAGCAATTAGGGAAATGCTAATTTCCTCTTTAGTGATAGTAAAAGTCTGCAATGAGAGCTGTTTTACGAGGTGAATTGTACAAAGTCAGTATTATAAATGCACATTACAAGGAAAATGCACGTAATCCATGCTACCAGCGATCACCATGAAATCATTCTCCGTCCAACATACCCACATCTTAAATCATAATGGTACAGTTGGATGTTCGTATTTACCTTTGTATTCTAAGTGAAATCCAGTGTAACTCACAGACCCGTCACTCCGGAAAGCCAGATGCATGGTATTTGAGCTGCTTTCGATTCTCTCTGGTAACTTGCTGTCTTGAAAACTTCCGATCAGTGGGCTGTTGCTGTCTGGTCCATCATAGATATACAGGAAGTCATAGTTTGGCTCTATGCTAAAGCTAAGTTAAAAAATAGGAGATAGAGAAACAGTAAAATTATTATTATTATTGCGGGGCATTAACCATAATAGTCATGTAATTGGATATTGAGTGCTTCAAAAGAGCAACAGAGCCTGTCAAAATAATCCAATAGAAAAGTTTGTCTGAATATGAGTATTCAACTGCTAGTAGAAAAAGAAAAAACAAATTGCTGATATCTTAAAAACTTTCTACATTAATACAATATATGGAAAGGACAGAAGAAACAGTAAAGTGGAGTTCAGCAAATTTTGAATCAGGAGTTGAAGTTTTGCTTCTGCCCCGGTGGTTACACCTATTTAAAAATTTTAATCCATGTATTTTTACCATGAAAATGTAACTTTTTGCCTTTGTTTTAATTTTTCAGTGTTACCATCTTGCTTGAATATTATCATGTTATGAGAACTTTTGTTTTTTTAAATTTAACTCTACATATCAGATTCCAACAACACTTGAAATAAAATACAGACTTTACTTTTAAAATACTCAGTGAGGCACTGTATGTTATATTAGGTATTCTTTTTATGGAAAGTATGTGTATTTTCTTTGGAACTGTAATGTAGTAGGTATCACACTAACACTGTAGAAATTAGATACTGCTGCGAAAATGACCTTCTTAGCATGTAAATAATTCAAACCAAAATTTTAAATATTGCAAAGATTCCATAATAAACTTCCTATAGCTTTCAAAAGTATAAGAAATGTCTCATCATAGTCATGATGTCCAAACATTTAAACGACAGGAGTCAGGCAATGCATTGATCTCTCTATGGTCAACTTGCTAGTGTAGCAGAGAAACACAGGGGAAGAAGCAGAACTCACTTAGGGTTAGTAAGCAGAGTCAACCGGTCCACGCTGTAAAATGACACCAGTGAGCCCTGCCATTGCTAAACATCAACACCAGAAAAATTGCTTTGTCATTTTATCATCTTTGTTTCTAAACAAGAGATTTATTGGGAGAAAGATGCTTTCACATGCCCAGAACCCACAGAGAGCAAGTTTTTCATCCTTCACGTGTGGCTCCACGAGAAAGATGGATCCCACTTCTCCATATTGGTGCATAAATGTCATACGGAAGACTGGGATGATATAGAGGTTAGTGAGCTTTTCATACATACAGGTGCAGGCGCCTAAGCATGAGAAAATTAGGGAAGCATCACGTTGTTGTAGTTTTTTTTTTTTAATTTTTAAGTAACTGCCCATGTCCAACTAATTTACCCTAAAAATTGTCAGTGCATCTAGAGCCTGAGTTTTGGTAGTTGCTGATATCACAGAGCAGACATTAGAAGAGGAAGTCTAATTTCACTACTTCTTATCCTGGTTACAGAACAAAACTGCCTTCTGAACTTACATTGTTTAAAATTCAGAAATGATAGTAATTATAACTCCCTTCCTAAGTCACTTTGGGGAAGATTCATGCAAATAAGTGCTTGGTAAATCATAAAAATAGTATTGCATGTAGAAATCTTAAAGCCTATTTGAAAATAGAATATAGGAAATTTATTTGTAATTTACAGTTTATCTAAAAATATAATTGAAGGGCCGGCCAAATAGCTCAGCAGATTAAAGCACCTGCAAGCAGGTGCAGGGGCTGGTTGTTTGATCCCCAGGCCTGCCCTGCCAGCCTCACCCCTGGGGCACACTGAGACAGCAACTGACACTAGGCTTGGTGGCACATGCCTGTAATCCCAGCTCTTGGAAGGCTGCAAACAGGTGAACCACGATTAGTCTGCTCTAGTAGTGAGACCCTGAAAATCCTGTAGACCCTTCCCTAAAATATAGAAATATATATAATTGAATATTAATTTATAGCTTGTTTGATAATAATGAAACATAAAGTCTTTTTGTAGGACATTTTGGAATCTTAATAGTAATGATTATTTTCACAGGAAACTACGGTACATTCATTCACCTGTTATGTTTTTCAAGGTATTTTCAGAAATATTAACTTGGTCTTGCCAATAATCCTGTAGTACTGATGACAGGAGGGATTATGATTTTCACTTTACCAATAAATATACCAAGGCTTTGAAAAGTTGACTCCCAAAGGTCACATAATCAATGGCAGGGATGGAAATCAAATTTATGTCAAACACTTCATATAATATAGCCTTCTACCTCATAGGTAACTAGAAGAATTTTATAGGTAAGCCACATCCTATGTGAAATGCAATGATTTCTCAATGTCTGTACTCCCATCTCATCAACTGTAAAAATCAGGATAACAGAATATCTACCTCAGAAAGTTGTAATTGTAGGTCCTGGCCTATAATTAACAATATTATTGTTTTTGGTCTTGTGTTATCATTTAGCAATGTGTCACCTCAAATTGTAGAAATAAAAATCTTATATAATTGCACTTTTGCTAAATTTTCATGAATCTCAGTTAGCTTTACTTTTGCTTTTTTAAAATCTAAGTTCAGAGGGGGCCGGGGAGATGACTCAGTGGAATAAGCACTCCCCTGGCAAGTGCAAGGGGCTGAGTTCAATCCCCAGTTCTGGGGGGAGGGGGAGACTAAGTTGAGCACATTACAAAGTTTTCTATTGGGCAAGTTTAGTGTTTTATGTAATACCAAGTAGGTTTAATGCACTAGAGATGAGCAAGAAGAATTTTGCTTTAGAGTTAACCTACTGATTACATCAACCTTTGTGAAAATTAGGGAAAAATTATGTAGAAAATATTTTGGTTATTACTTAGCATGGAAATCATTTCTTCTATTTGCTGTGCTAGAGTTAAAATTCAGGGCTTTGCACATGCCAAGCAAATGCTCTACCACTGAGCTAGATCAACAGCCCCTTCCAGTAAGGCCACGAGGGCCCATTTTATCACAGAGCTATCGGCTTCAAAGAGGAAACATAGATTCACCCAACTAAATGATTTTCCTACAGAAATAGTGGTGTCAGTGCTGAGCTAGAACACTGACCCAATGCTGTCTTTCCCACACATGCTGCTTTCAAATATTATTATTACTGTGGTCTAAACTTTATTCTGCTTTTCATACTGCTAAACAACAAATGTAAACTTGGGAACATTCCCATGTAAACTCTTGTGAGACCAATTTCACTGATAAGTCAAACAAACGTGGCCAATTAAACTGTACCCTGTTAGGTTGAGTTAACGAGACTCCCAGAAAGAAAAGTAACTAGAAGTCTGTCTTCTAGACCCAGTGGTGGTGCCACGCAAGAGTTTCTAAATGTGCCACAGGTCTTTTAGATGGCGCATATACGGGAGGAAAAGTACTGATGTGCTGACTTTTTCATCTTGAAGTTTAGGAAAACAGTGAAATCTCTGAACTAGTGACAGTAAGTAACGAGGGAGGAGAGGTTACAAAGAGACCATGCTTTGTGAGAGCCAATAAGTCACGTGAATTTCAAAGTATTTCCTCAGTGTGGGGAACAGGATGAAGATTCTCGCCGCCTGCCCTTCAGAGCTGTCACGTTATTATTCGAGGTTTGAGAATTGCTAGTGGCAAAGTAGTAGGACTGAGATTATCATCAACGTCACGAAGACATTGTGTACAGAAATAAAAATTTGCCTCACACAGACCCAAAAGCAAGTCACCAAGCCGGGCATGGCAGCCCAGGCCTGTAATCCCAGGCTGAGGCAGGAGGGTCCTTGGGAGTTCAGGACCAGCTTAGTGAGCCCCTGTCTCAAAAAGGCAAAACAACAAAAGACGATTGTTAAAAGAGAATTTTCAAAGGCGGGCAGCGGAAGAGCTCACCTGATGAATGCCAGGGAGATGACGTAGTCCGCGTTGACAGCGATGGTCCAGTCGCAGTTGCCGCTGTGCGGATATGGGTGAGGGAAGTTCGGCGAAAGAATAAAGCCTGAAGATCCTGTTAAGTTGCCGCCACAGGGTGCTTTAATTTAAAGAAGCAAAGAAAATCCCTTCAGAGATCAATAAAATTCATTAGAAATCAATATATCTATGAAAATATTTCTCTAGGACGGTTTACAAGATACTGAGGAGATCTGGCTTGTAGACCGCTAAGTGAGGAGATACTGCAGCGTCTGTCAGGGAAGACCGCGGATGCACCAAACACACGACACGCAAGGGACTACTGAATCTGCTGCTATTCTAGTTTCTGAAAACAAGAAAAACTTATAT